TGATCAAGTCTAGTTTGTCCATACCAAATTGTAGCTCGAAATTTGATTGGGAAGGCATTCAAATAATTTTTTTAAGTTGACTGCGTCAAAATATACATATAAAAATGCAGTCAATCAAAAAATTATTTGAATGCCTTCCCGATCGAATTTTGAGCTGAATTTTGGTATGGACAAACTAGACTTATTGATGAGGAATTGCTTAAAAAAATTCATCAAAAAATTCCACCGGAAACCGCCCCAAACGGCGGTGTTCGGATGGAGGCTTCCGTCTGAACGTTTGGACCTGAACATTCTTGTATGTGTGTGTGTGTGTGTGTGTGTGTGTGTGTGTGTGTGTGTAAGCTAAATGATGGATCAGAAATAGTAGACGATCTAGTTGTTCTAACCATGCATAACCAATGGGCATGAAGGGTAACTATTACACTCATTGCGGCATGCGGCCGGTACGAGCATAGGTGTAATATATTCTTGTTGGAATTTTTGAGACATTTCAAATGAATTAAAGTTTATTCAATTTGTGAGAAATCTTTTAAGACTTAAAACAATTAAATTGTAACATTGATTTTATCTTAATTAGCTTGGCCGGTCATATGCCTAATGATAACTTGTTTGAATTTTCTGTTAAAATTTTACTGTTATTTTATTACTAATCGTATGAAGCTTTAAATGTTGTTTTATCTTCCACTTTCAATTCTTAATTTCTAGTTGGCTGGTCTATATAATATAACTCTATAAGCATCAAAACATCTCACTTGCTTTTCCTAACGTTAAGCATTTATACTGCAAATAAATGTTTTGTTTAATTACCTGTATCTTTATTATTCATATGAAACCATTTTGGGTTTAATGTTGTGACTGTATGTATAAAAACATACGTGCATGTATCTCACAAAAAGGGAAGAGAAAGCGAGAAAACAATAAGAAAAATCTGTTTGCATACACTTAGTTAGTGGATCGATCGGAGAGTCATTATATTAATGTGGTGGAGAATGTTTCCAAAGATTCATGCAAGGAATAACAAAGAGTACTCGGGATATTTTACTTTATACTCTCCGGAAGAATTCTTCTTCACAAAATGATATACTGAAATCATATTTTTATTATTGGGTTCATATACTAATTTTCTTCTCTTTAGTTCTGTTATCGGTCTCGAACCGAAGGGCTCATTATATCTTGGGGGAAATTTCCGTACGCCAGAAATAATTCCTTAGGACAACGTCTGACGCGTCTCGAGCCACTAATATACTTTTAGTTCTTTTATAGAGCACTGATACACTTTTAACGTCTGACTCTTGTTCCTTGGAGTGATCATACTCCTATTTGTAAATGGCTATTTCGCGTAAAGCGTAAACCTGATGGCTCAGTCGATCGATACAAAACTCGATTAGTGGCCAAAGGTTATGCTCAAGAGGCTGGTCGTGATTATTTCGAAACATTCAGCCCTGTCATGAAGCATGTCACTGTTCGTATCATCCTTACCCTTGCCCACATACATGGCTGGTCTCTCCAACTCGACGTCAACAATGCATTTCTCAATGGCACTCTCAATGAAACAGTCTACCTTGAGCAACCACCGGACTACGTTGATCCAGTATACTCCACTCACGTATGTTGTGTATAGAGAGCTCTCTATGGCCTCAAACAAGCGCCTCGTTCTTGGTATAATGAGCTATTTGCCTTTTTGGTTAAGTCTGGGTTCTACAAGTCACGTGCCGACACCTCCATGTTTATTTACACCTCTCACAATGTAATGATGTACTTCTACAAGCCTTCTTTACCATACTTCTTCCTTTTCAAAAAATGTTGTCATATAAACACTACATTAATATTAGGAAAAATTGACAAGAATAATCCCACCTTTCACTGGTCTTCTCATAATAATCCCACCTTTAAATAATCGCAAAATAATCCTACTTTTGCACCTCATCTTCTTTCATTGGACCCTAACCAAGTTTTTTACCTTTTTTAAAAATCTTATATAAATAATCTCACATTTATAAGGATATAATTAAAAAGTGAAAGGTGAGATTATTTGTATAATTTTCAAAGAAAGAGTTAAAAACATGGTCAGGGTCCAATGAAAGAAGATATGGTGCAAAGGTGGGATTATTTTGAGATTATTTAAAGGTGGGATTATTACGAGAAGACCAGTGAAAGGTGAGATTATTCTTGTCAATTTTTCCTTAATATTATCCACAATAGACCTCCGGGGAATAAAAGCACTCCGGTTCTCCCCAATTAAAGAACCCAATATCCCTCTCAGTCTATTAGCCAACACCTTTAAAAAAAATTATATACGACATTACATAGGGCTATAGGTCTCCAGTTCCTATATTATCAGGTTTCTCCTTCTTGGGAATATACCTGTACAAAGCCGAACAACCTCTGGACCCACAATATCCCATAACTTCTGAAAAAATGCCGGATTCATACCATCTGATCCTGGCGCTTTTTCGGGATGCATACCGAGAATTGACGCCTTAACCTCCTCCGGTGTAATAGCTCGAAAAAACCATTTGTTTTGCTCATTTCTCACCCTCCGAACCACAGACCATCCTCCCTGTGCAAACCCACCATTTTGTTTTTCCTCCTCCGAGCTTTAACTGCATTGTGAAAAAACTGAGAGTTAATGCTTTTGCTCTCTGCCTCCAGTAATGATTCTCTTTTTCCAGCAAAATATGTAGCACGTGCGGATCCGAATAAACTCAGCCGTGCTAATCGAATCATCTTATCCCCTCAACCAAGACAATCGTTTTTTATGTGCGTTAATCTGATGTCAAAAACCCTTCGAACGACAGCCATCCCACCGCAATAATTCTTTGCCGCAAAATAAAATCCTGTCACTGACAGTCATGCTCGAGCTACCACTCCAACTATGAACAACAATGGTGCAGCATTCATCTGGCCTCTTTCAGCCAGCTATTATCAAATCAAAACATTTTTGTTGTCCTTCCATGCAAAGTAGGAACATTATTTACCCATAAAGCCATGTGATCGCTTATGGGGGCTTCGACCGAAGTGGCACGAGCCGCCATAAAGCTATCCCGCCATTGATCGTTACAAAGGATTTGATCCAACTTCTCTTCCACCCAATTTATTGAGCCTTTCCCCCACTCCCAGGTCCACTGATATCCCGGGAAATCCCTCAGGCCACTAGATAAATCTGCTTCATGAAAACCGCGGATTTTCCATCCCGGGTGAGGTATTCTTCCCTTCTTCTCTGATCCGATTCATACAAAATATCATTCATATCACCAATGACCATCCATGGAAGAGAATTATTCTCGGCTAACCCCATACTGATGTTCCATGCTTCTCTTCGCCGTCTCGCCTCCGAGAATGCACAATAACATGTAAGCCTCCATGTAATTCCGCCCTCCACCAAACACATCTGGCAGTAAAAAAAAGTTTGGATGTTCCGCCGTGATAGTAACGTCGACTTCCTCATTCCATCCAATTGCTAAGCCACCAGCCCACCACTACGACCGTCACAATCCATCCCTGCCATATGATCGAGCTAAGCCCTGCGCCCTTAATAATTCTTTCGCTCGTTGACATCACATCTTCGACTCCATGAGGAAAATAATCAAATTAAACGTCTATATTGTTGAACAATATCCGTCAAGCCTTGAATCGTGGTCGGATTTCCCAGCTCTCTACAATTCCAACTCACAATGCTCATTCTTGAAACAAAATCAGAAGCAAAACAAACCGACCAAGCGATCAGGATGATCACCACCGCACGAGGAACAGAGGTGAAACCCTAGACGACAACCACTTTTTCTTCATTCCCTTTAAATATTACTACTTCGCTCGTAGTTAAAAAGAATATTTTGATTGCTCAAAGTAAAAATAGTATTTTTCATCGAAAACTGTCATTTATTCATATCATAAGTTCCAGGATCATTACATCAAGCAAAGGAAAAACACCAACTAGGCTCCAACAACTACGACTGTAAACCCTATGATCAGACTTAGAAACGGTCACCTCAGCAACACGAATCGCTAACCATGTAACGAGCTTGACACAGCCATCCATGTTCCCATAGACCCAAACATGCTCAATGACATAAAACCAGGCTAAATTCCCAAACAAACTGACAAACCTAACAACATAGACGACAACAAGAAAACGAATGACAAAATAAAGAAAACTTATTGGAAAACTTTCACGAACTCTAGCCTCTCGCACAACCCATGACGGTGATTCAGGAGAAGGCCGTACTATTGGAACCTCTCTTATTGATCCTCCATTGGCGATAAAAATATGGCCTATTCGAAACCCTTTCGACTCTCCTCGTCCCACACTCGAGCCCAAATCACCGCTAGCGGTCATCATCTTCGCCGTCATGCCCTACAACTCTCGCACCGCAAACCCTCGTGGCCACAGCCCTTGTGGTCGGGAAAACCAAAACCTGCACAAGAGGAAAAAGTAACACAAACTTCGTGGCCGCAACCTCCGTGATCGATTCTTCAACCCGAGAGAAACTGTGTGCGAAGCTCTCCCTTGCAAGACCTACGAACAGCCAATCTGCTCCTTACCCTCGTCTGCACAATGCTAATCGGCTGAAAATCGAATGACGAAAGCCGCACGACCCCAGGCGGCGGTCTGCGGAAAATCCGAATCCTAAGCTAAGGGACAACGCCCGCGGTGATTTGTCAAAGTAAAAATACTACAATACTCCCTGCGTCCCGCTAAGAAGTTACCGCTTTCCTTTTTTAGCAGTCCCAAAAAGAAGTTCCGCTTTCCTTAAATGGAGAGTTATCTACATTAAAACAGTGTCAAACAGTGTCAAAAGAGTGTCAAAACAGTAAAATTTAATCTCTGATAAGTTTATTTGCTTAATATGTGTGCAAGTCAAACCGGGAACTTCTTGACGGGACGGAGGGAGTAGTATTGAAAAGCTAATCCTATTTAAAGATTTTTTGAGTTATAGTTCTATTTAACAAATAAAGTTATACCATAAAAAAAAACAAATAAAGTTATAGTGCTGATGGGTAATTCTCCCTCTTTTGTATTCGTAAAACAAACGCTAGAAATAAAACACTCGAATTTCATCAACCTCAAATGTATCAATATTACGAGCATTCATGACATGCTCTGCTTTCATAATTCATGCCTCTTCCACCATCGCCTGAAATGCTCGTCGGCGGCTCCGTTCACATCTCGCGAAAGTCAGCCTTTGCAAACAATTATTTTGTTTATGCATTCGTTTTGGTGTTCAATTTTGCCTATAGTTTACTCGGGAAAAAACTGGTTTTGGCTCGTTTGAGAACTTTCGGGGTTTCATGATTAATTTGTAAAATTTGAAGCTTTAAAAAGAAAATTAGTGATTAAGGAGCTTTAAGTATCTTTTCTATTCCTAATCAGAAGCTTTTTGATGGCATTCGGTTTTATAAACGGGCTAGTAGTTGTCGTTATGCTGTTGTCTGCTGAAGAAAAAAAAACTACATTTCCATCCTTGAGTTCATGTGTAGATGACGTTTTCACAGTTGATCGGAGCATTTAATACCTTTGAATATGACTGGAGAATGTATAACTGTACGCAGATTCGTGGCAATTCGGAATATTAAAGGAATTGCACAGTACAGACAACCAAATCAAACTAGATGGAAAGCTAATTTCACAACATGCAGAATCCAGGAGAGCTTCTACAATCATTTCCAGTGTTTTCATTTGGGCACTCACAGAAGAAACAATATGGTAAATCATGCCCATCTGACATGGAAGAGGTTCCAAAAACAGTCTATGTATATGGGGTGGACTTCTCTATCTATAAATAGAATAGCTCAAGCAGTAAGCTTGGCTTTGAACCGCCCTTATGTGGCTTTTCCTGGTATCTTTGCATTAACATGTGGAAGAAATGTAGCACTGGCACAGGCAACACAAGACACAAACTTTGTCTCCAAAAGGAATAAACTGTATATGCATGCTCAAGATGGAAATGTTTACTTTACGTCATTGATACGGTCTATGTTCGATTCGCTTGTTCTGCTGTTGAGAGTAATGTATTTGGCTGTACTCTTTTCACCAAGTGTAGTAATGGCTCCATTTGCAGATATTTTTGGACCCCGTTACACAGAAATCTGGCTCCAGGTTGTTCGTCAAACACTTGAAAGAGCAGGCCCTGCATTTATAAAGTGGGGCCAATGGGCAGCTACTAGGCCAGATCTTTTCCCTAGTAATGTATGCACTGAACTGTCAAAGCTCCAAACAAGTGCCCCTGAACATAGTTTTGCCTACACAAAAAAGACCATTGAAAGAGCTTTCGGCCGTAAAATTTCAGAAATCTTTGACGAGTTTGAAGAAAAACCTGTAGCATCTGGAAGTATTGCTCAAGTTCATCGCGCTTTCTTGAGGTATCAATACCGCGGTAGGAAGATCAAGCCCATGGCTGTGGCCGTGAAAGTAAGACATCCTGGAGTTGGCGAGTCAATAAAAAGAGATTTCGAGATAATAAATATAGTTGCAAAAATATCAAAATTCATTCCTACTCTTAAGTGGTTAAGATTGGATGAAAGTGTCCAGCAATTTGCTGTTTTTATGATGTCTCAAGTTGACCTTGCTAGGGAGGCTGCCCATTTAAGCCGCTTCATTTATAATTTTAGAAGATGGAAGGATGTTTCTTTTCCAAAGCCTGTATATCCATTAGTACATCCTGCAGTGTTGGTGGAAACATTTGAGCAAGGAGAAAGTGTTTCATATTATGTTAATGAGCTCGAGGGGAATGAACGGATTAAAAGTGCACTTGCTCATATTGGAACCCATGCACTTCTAAAGATGCTTCTGGTAATGTTTTCTTTTCATTTTGTTTATTGTATATTTCTGTTTCAGTTGTATCTTTGCATTCGGAATGGTTTGCCCAATAATTCCTTTAATTCAACTAGATGATTGATCATAAGTCGCGTAGGAGGTAATGCTAAGAGAAAATGTATTCCTATGTTGGTTAAATGGTATTTAGGACTATTTACCCTTTTAAAAGATTTACTAACCTTATAGAAGGAGAATGAGGCAGTTGCTCTGCTGTGTTTACTATATGTTGGTTTCTATAAATTTGATTCAATTATTGAATTCAGAACATAGTTCTATAGTGACTGTAACATTTGGAAAATCTGTCATTTGCCACAGTGAGAATTATATACCAGGAGATGTTGTTTTCCTTAAAGTATTTTCCATTTAAAGGGGTGTAAGTATTTACTGCCAAAGGGCCTAGTTCTAGTTCAGTTCCTTCTCCTACATGTACTCCTAATAACAATTGTGAGTTGTGACCTTGATCAACCTAGAAAGAGCAAAACTGAAACTAACTTTGGTTCATATTTATATCATCCATCCATAGTAGTCAATGGCTAGATATGGCGCGCGCCATATGCGCCATCGCCATGAAAAAGTAGTCGTCGCCATAGCGCCATATGCGCTATATGCGCCGTTCGTATATGCGCCATCGCCATGCGCCATGAAAAATGCCTTTGAGCCATGGCGATCGCCATGCGCCATGACAACTGTGCATCCATCTCATTGGAGTTGGATGATATAGATAAACTAAATGAAGATATAGTTTCTCTATATATGTTGGAGGTGGAACCATTGTTTGTATTTGCGCAATGCAACTGCGCCTCATGGCGCGTCTCAACTAATTCCTCGACTTTGGCATAAAAGGCATTGCCTATGGCACTGGGAGTGTTGCGTACACAATATTGTAGTGAGGTTTACGTGATATTGCGTACGCAATAAGTCGTTGAGAGGCATACGCGATATGAGGTCAGGGTGTAAGGGTATTATTTGGGCTCACTCGGCCCATTTCTTAATTTTATAATTAACATATTCTGAATTTATGACCCCTATTTAAACTACTAGATAGTGATAATTTGATTTTTCCGTCATCAATCTTACAAACTTAAAAATTTAATATGTTGGGATTTTTTTACCCCGGGGGGTTGGGGAGAATTTTGGAGATGTTGGTTTTTGAAAATAAGCCAATAATAGTGAGTTAGATTACATATAGTCTAATAACATTTGGGATCTAGTTAACCTTTTTAATAGTTGTAGTCTAATTTGGTGAAAATGATTTTACTCAAACATTTCCAAAAAAAATCTTGTATATCTGTTCTGCCGTAGTGTGTGTGCCACAATAAAGACACGACTTGCTTTGGCATCCTCAAGTAATTTGGATGCTCATCTAGTGGATGATAAAACTACTTTTGTTAAATGGTGGTTTACTGGTTTATACGCAGCCATCTTTTTGTTGTGTTGCTTCTGGCCTCGAGAAATAGGTATTTAGGTTCAAAAAGTCTCTATACAGCCTTATACAAGCTCCATTATAGCTTACGGTCATCCATCCAACGATTATGTGTTTTGGTTTTATTTTGAATGGATTATGTTTTCTAGATCTCTTGACGTGTGTGATTGTATGCTAAGTAGTTAAATCGCTACCCGGTAGCAACTCGGTCAAGGGCCGAGTAGCGAGTAGGACCGAGTACTCGGGATTACTCGGTGAGTACTCAGCCCTATAATTAATTTTAAAAATATAAATGTCCGGAATTATAGTACTACGTAATATATTATTCCTATAATTCTTAGATATGAAAAAAAAACCTAATGAAGAAGAAATGAGAAAGAAGATAGAGCCATGGGGGAAAATAATTTACCTAGACTTTTTAAGGTTTATTTCCAATTTTTAAATACCCACTCATTATTTATAAATTCCATAATATCCCTCTTTAATTAAAACTTCTGAGATTTAACAAATTTTTATGCCAGGCCAAGTAACTCGCCGAGTCAAGATTTTCCATGAGTCAAGAAACTTTCCGAGTACTCGGCGAGTAACTCGAAAAAATGGGACAGGCCGAGTTAGATTGCTAATAGGAACGGTCACCCCCCGAGTTGCGAGTACTCGACGAGTACTCGCTGAGTACTCACCGAGTAGATAACACAAATTGTATGTTTATATCTAGGTATAGGCTACTTTTTGTGAATAACAGATGCTTTGAGTGCATCAAAAGTGTTCTTATCTTCTAAGTTTGACATGAAGTATCTAGGAGAAGCTGGTATAATTTTGTGAGAAAGACATTCCAAAAATTAGTAATCGAATTCATCCTATCCCACCTTCACATTAAAAGTTTAGATAACATAACGCTCAATTGCTTGGGTGCAAAGCAACATCTAATCTGTACGATTCATCCATGGCTTTGTAGAAATTTTACGGGCCTCCTTTTTCTCAAGAACAGTATGCTAAGCACATTCAAAGTTCAATGTTTTATGAACAGTATCATGTTATTTTTCACAATCATTTTTCTTTATCACATCACCATCATTTACCCCAGTGCCGCAAAGGCTCCCACCTACGGTGGGGTAAGGCCTAAGGGGGTTGGATGTACGCAGTCTTTCCATCAATTTCAATGGAGCCAAAGACTCACTATTTTTTTGCTTCGGAATTTGATGGAATAAAGCAAAATGGCTCACTAAACTGTTTGCGCTTCTTTGTTATGAAGTAAAATTTTCGACGCGATTTTCACTATGGGTCATTCGGAAACAGTCTCTCTGTGCTTTGGTACAGGGGCAAGACTGCTTACATCCGACCCCCCTTACCCCACCATAGGTGGGAGCCTTTGCGGCACTGGGGTAATGATGATGATGATGACATAAAAATTAATCTGCACTAGTCTTATAATTAAAAATAAATACAATAGTTCTAGTAAAATGTTTAAATTAGACATATGTATTTCCAACCAAATAAGTTTACACCATGCATCAGACTCTTGTTTTCTGTAGTGATACTATTTAAATTTATTCCTTATACATTATAGATTTATTTTATAACTTCTACTTTAAAACATAGGTTTCTTATTTCATTGATTATATTAAGCTATGTAATATTTTTATGACTGATGCTTTCAGCAAACATTATTATTTCATTTTGATTCTAATGTATGGTATTAACTTTTCGGCAACTAATTTTGATTTTTTCCGCAAAATATGTATGATACCTCACCAGAATACCGCTAGTGGTATCTAGAGAGAAGACAAAGCTAAAAAGTAGAGAGAGAAAGATATTTGATATATTAATGAAGTTTGAACCGTTGCATCTGCTCCAAATGGGGGTATTATACCAGTCATAAATGTTAGGTACATTATATGCACGTACAAGTGTAAGCTGATCTATGGATGAAGCCCTACAGCGTATGTAATGATGACGCGTGACACTGCTGATCTCTTCTGTGCAGTGGATGAGGTGCCTGATGGACATTGTCCCGCTTCTGTGAGAGGATTGTACTGGTATTTCCATCATGTTGTTTGGCGAGATCCCCGTTGGGGACGAGGTGCCCTAGGTCGAGGGGTCAGCCTGGCCTGTTCCGGATGTTATCAAGTTCTTTGTTATGCTGAGGTGTGTGAGCCGAGGGGTCCTAGCCGAGAGGTCGGCCTGGACGCTATTCCAGAAGTTGTTGAGTGCTTTGTTTGAGCTGTTCTCGAGGAGGACCCTCCTCAGGCCGAGGGGCCTAGCCGAGGGTAATGTCCAATTAGCTGTTTGGCCAGTGATAGATGTCCATGAGTGTGTGGGCCGTGGGCCCGGACTCATTGTTAATTGTTAATAATTGTAGAATAGGAAACAGTTAATTTTGATATTTATCAATTTTCAAAGAATTTTTCTATATAATACCACTAATTTTTAAATACTTGCACATTTTTCCTGCATGTCTAGCATTACATTTTTCAACATAGCATTTCTTCGCGTCAAGTGATATTGGCTTCTTGCCCATGTCTGTGCTACTTATATAAATACCAGTGTCATCCCTAGACAGAGTCGCAAATATAACATATACATAGTACAAACTAAAGGTTCCGTATTGATTATGATAAAAGTGCGGGGGTAAACTAAAACAAAAGAAAGTGCAGAGACTTCATTCTAAAAGTGCATGCATCAGCTTTCTTCTAAACTTCTAATAGTAGCAGTCAGAAAAGGATTTCCACTTGGCTGTATTAAAAGTGCACGTGGGGGGAGGGTAATTCAAATGAAAACAGAAAACTGAAGTGCGCAAGGCTCGAATGTGTTTGTTTTTATATAAACGCGCCATATTAGTAACATAGGAAAAGGTAAAGATTCTGCATGATTGTGGGCCTGTGGCTAGTCATAAATATGCAATATTGCAGACTTCTAAGAGTTTCATTCCATGCATCTTATAGGTGGACAATTTTGTGCATGCTGACATGCATCCTGGAAATATCCTCGTCCGGGTAACCCAGAGCAAGTCTTCAAGGAAACACATCTTCAAATCAAAGCCCCATGTTATTTTCCTTGATGTTGGCATGACTGCTGAGCTTTCTAGTAGTGATCGAGTAACATTCCTGGAGTTCTTTAAGGCTGTAGCTCGTCGAGATGGGCGCACAGCTGCAGAATGCACTTTGAAATTATCTAAACAACAGAACTGCCCTAATCCCAAGGCATTCATTGAGGTTGAATCTAACACTTTTCAAGTGTTTTTTATCTGGGAAAATTTGCATGTTTCTTTGGTTTTGTTGAGTTTAGGGTCAAATTGCTGACCCTTTCAGTTGGTATACACTGTTTTAACTCGAAATTAGTATTGAAATGATCTTCTACATCATTCATTAAAGGAATGGCATGGACAGTGGACACTATATGCCAGCCCTATTTCATTTGAATCTAGCTCTTGAAATCTGATATTGAGGTGGATGATTATCTTTTGCTAATTGTTGGAAACCTAGGAAAAATGAAATGAAAAACAAAAAAGACCGAAATGAAGAAGTGGTCTTGCAATCCAATGTAGTTGTGAATAGCCATTTTTGTTCCTGCAAGATGATATGCTATGCATGTAAGTTTATGATTTTATTACGTCATTTCTAAATTCTAGTTTCCTCAGTTGGGTATTGGGAGTCACCGAGTCACAGGGTGTATTATGTCGTGTCTAGCTAAAGTTTTGTTTCAAAGCGAATGTATTGGTTTAACTGTATTAAAACTTTAGGTTTTTCCTAAAAGGTCAATCGGATAGGTGGAGTGATTTGAGACCTCATATATTGCACCTTAACAAACTCCTATACCATATATTAAGTTTTTACTCTAGAAGGTCAAATGAGTTTTAGTCGAATTCATCATCAATTCATCATCATCATTATTACCCCAGTGCCGCCAAGGCTCCCACCTACGGTGGGGTAGGGGGTCGGATGTACGAAGCCTTACCCCTGTACTAAAGCACTGAGAGACTGTTTCTGAATGATTCAAGGTGAAAATCGCGTAAAAAATGCATGGACTGACTGGTGCTTCATAACAAAGAACCGCAGATAGTTTAGTAAGCCATTTTGCTTTATTCCATCATATTCCCAAGCCAAAAAATAGTGAATTTTTGGCTCCATTGCAAATGATGGAAAAGAATTTTAGTCGAATGATTGGTCTTTTTACTTTAGTAGGGATATGATACCATATTAAGAATGAAGGCTCCGTCTCAAAAGGTTAACTTAATTGGAGAGTTGTCAAAATCCTTAGATATGAGTTTGTTTGTTTATATTTTACTAGTGTGGGATAACTTAACAAACTGAAACCAGCCTTTCTAGCGCAACCTTGTGTTTTTGAGCTATGTGGAATTCAAGTAAAAAATTTCCCCTTTTGATGGACTTATGGAGCATCTAGTAACTGCTAGTTTGTGTAATGGGATTTTTCAACAGGAGGTGAAAGAGTCATTTGATTTCTGGGGTACAGCAGAAGGCACTTCAATCCATCCAGCTGAGTGCATGCAGCAACTGCTTGAGAAAGTTAGACGCCACAGAGTGAATGTTGATGGGAATGTGTGCACTGTGATGGTGACAACTTTAGTCCTTGAGGTATTTTCTTTATTCTTCTTGCTGTTCTTTGATGATGAACTACCATAATGGAAAGCAGAGTCCCTTAATCTATGTTTGATCAACCATGTCAAAGGGTGGATATCAGTGTAAGTCATTAAGGAGTAGGGTTTTTAATAATCTTTAATAATATTCTTTTGCGTTCAACACTTTCCCGTGTCTTGTGATCGTTGGAGAAGGTGCTGCTGCCAGGCATGATGAGGGGGGAACTCAATGCCGTGGTATTAAGGAATATAGCTGAGATATCTAATTACATTAGTCACATAAAGAGGATATAAATACAGTATGTTTCACATTCCAAAAGCTTTTAAAACATATAAAAAAACTAAAAAACATAGGCGACATACACATGAACTTGGCTAGGCGTCTATACAATATACAACGAAATAATAATAGTAATAAATAGGGGTTTTCATATAATATCACTAAAATAAAACTTATGGACAAAATTATGATAATATGGTCACTACAACTGCAAAAACACCATCATTTCCACTATTTAGTGAAACTCAACATCGCTATGGTTATTAATTATTACCGCTACTGAGAAATATTAGCAATGACTAGAAAAGCCAAGTTTTTGTCCCATACAATTAGTGCAGTTGTATCACCACCATCATCCAATACTGCAAAGGCTCCCACCTACAGTGAGGTAAGGGGGTCGGATGTACGCAACCTTATCCTTGTACTAAAACACAAATAGACCGTCCGGATGACTCATAATGAAAATCGCATTGAAAATTGCATGGATTGACTTTGCTTCATAACAGAGAAGCGTAGATAATTTAGTAAGCCATTTTACTTTATTCCATCATATTCCAAAGCCAAAAAATAGTGAGTCTTTGGCTCCATTGCAAATGATGGTAATAATTAATGTAGTTATATATTTGTCATTATTTGTAATCTGGTTAAAGAAAGACAAGATTTTGTGAAATTTTCATCTTTGAGCATAGTATTTAAACAGAAATAAACAATTTCAGTTTTTAGGAATAAGTTTCCTTGATTTCATTGAGTCATTCAGCAAGAATATAAATAGTATTTACAAGTAACAACTTTCCTGTGGAGATCCTATAAAATAGGATTTAGCTAACTACAAAGCTTATTTAATAATCAATGAAAGCAACGACCTCTAAGACTTATCTACATGGCTACATATGTACTAAGTCAAATAATTAACAATTAATGAAACATTTTTTTCACTCCCCCTCAAGTTGGTGAGCATATATCATACATCCCCAACTTGCTTATAAGTAGTTCAAACGCTGGTTTAAATAGTCCTTTGGTGAAGATATCAACTGTTTGATCTTTGGTAGATATGAATGGTGTGCACACAACTCCAGCTTCATTCTTCTCTTTAATGAAGTGTTTGTCCACTCCAATATGTTTAGTACGATCATGTAGTATAGGATTATAAGCAATGCTAATGGCTGCCTTGTTATCACAATACAACTTCATAGGTATTTCCATCTCAATTTTTAGTTCTGTGATTACTCTCTTGATCCAAAGCAGTTCACAGATTTCATTAGCCATAGATCTGAATTCTGATTCTGCGCTACTTCTAGCAATCACATTCTGCTTCTTACTTCTCCAAGTTACCAGAATTCTCCATTAATAAGTAAAATATCTAGAAGTAGACCATGATTGAGCCAGCATAGTCTGCATCAGTAAAGGCCTCAACAGTCCTGTTGCCTCTTTTGAAGAATAACTCTTTCCCTGGACAATATTTTAAGTACCTAAGAATCCTGTAAGTGGATGGTGCATAAACTGACTCACCATGCTAACTGCAAATGTAATATCTGACCTTGTATGTGCCAAATAGATTAATCTTCCCACCAATCTTTGATATTGTTGAATGTTGACTGGAACTCTCTCTTTGACATCTCCCAACTTCTAATTAGGGCCATTTAGAGTATCTGCCGGTCTACATGCATTAATTCATGTTTCTGGCAGGAGATCTAGAACATACTTCCTTTGTGAGACAACAATTTCTTTCTTTGATCTAGCTGTCTCCATTCTTCAGAGAGTACTTCAACTCTTTCAGGTCTTTGACCTCAAACTCATGAGCAAGTTTCTTTTTTAGATTTATAGTCTCTGAAAACTTCATGAATAGTGTATGATCAGCTTGAGCCTGCCTGAACCCCTATCTTTTTACAAATTGAGTGAACTTGTCAACCCAAGCCCTTGGAGACTGTTTGAAGCCCATACAGGCTTTTAGTTTGCATACCTTTGAACCGAACTTGTTCTCAAATCCAGGAGGAGGTTTCATATATACTTGTACTTCTTATTCAAATTTCCCATTTAAAAAAGCATTCTTCACATTTAACTGTTGAAGTAGTCAGTCTAGATTAGCATCAGGTGATAAAAGAATTCTTAAAGTATTCAACTTTGCAACTGGTGCAAAGATTTCAATGTAGTCTATGTCGTAGGTTTGTGTGTCCTTTGACAACTAATTTTGCCTTATATCTCTCAAGAGTTTCATCTGCATTGAACTTGGGAGTGAAAATCCATCTGCATTCTACTGTTGGTTTGTTTCTAGGTAGCTCTACAATCTTCCACGTCTAATTCTTTTCAAGAACCTCCATCTCTTCCAAATCAGCTTTCTTCCACTCAGGTTTGGAATTTGGATAGAGCTCCCTGTATGGTTGAGGGAATAAAAATAGAAGAAACGCTAGAAATGAATGTTGCAAATGATGATGACAGTTTAGAATAAGAAACATGATTTGAGATATGATATTTGACACATGTTCTTCTTTCTTTTCTGAGAGCCATTGGTAAGTTAAGATCACTGAAATTGTTACCTTTTTCACGCACTATCATTGAGTCAGATTCATGGACAGATGTAAGTTTAGGGACTTCCTCTATGCTTTGATTTGAAACTCTCTTCTCATAAACTTTGCCAAATAACTTACTTGTCTGTTGGTCTTCTTTTTCAATCGGTTCAGTTGTATTTTTCTCATTATTTGTTAATTCTTCACTATTTTTTAATGCACCTCAATTTCTAATGAGATGAACATCTAGATTAATGTCAAGAAAATCAAGGTTTTCATGGATATGTGGCACTTTTTGAGCATCTTCACTTAAATTCTCCCCCTTAAGATGAGTATAAAAAAAGGTTGATCTTGAACAAACATCTTTTTTGAGTTGAGGAAACCCCTAGAAAAACACATTTTGTTCCTTTAGGATCAAATTTACTTGCATATTTATCAGGATTTATAATGGACACTGCTACGTTGTGCAACCAAAAACTTTCAAAGGAAGATAGCCAATCAATCTGTTTGTAGGAAAACAGTTTTGAAGTGTGTTAGTAGGACTTTTAAATCCTAAAATCTTTGATGTTATGCAATTAATTAAATAAGTTGCAAGTAACACAACCTCTCCCCACAAATATTTTGGGATTTTTGTTGAAAACGTGATTGCACGAGTTACTTCATGTAATTGCCTATTTTTCCTCTAAGCAATTCCATTCTGAGCAGGTGTATTTATACAAGAGCTTTGATAGTTAAAAACCTTGTTTAGGTTTTGAGAAAAGTATTCACGGCCATTATCACTTCTTACCATTTTAATGTTAGTATTGAATTGAGTTTGGACCATTGCATAAAAATTCCTAAACACATTTTCCACTTCAGATTTTTCTTTGATTAAAAACATAGTAATTGCCTAATAGGATTAAAACTAGCCTAAAATCACAAATAGGACTACAACTCTAAATCATTCACAAATAGGGCTGAACATTAATTTTATACCCTAAATACACCCGAGGGTATTAATTCATAATGAAATGTTTTAATTCATAATAAAATCGTAAAAATTAATAAAAATCGTAAAAGATACTACCTCCATCCCACTAACATTGGGATTGGGAACATGAAGGAGTGGCACGATTATTAAGAAAAGTGAGTTTATGTGGTTGATATTGAATTGATAAAGTAAGAATTAAGTAAAAATGATTTAGAGCCACACAAACATTACAAAATTTGTTATGAGACAATCTTAGTGGGATTTCCCCAAAAGGAAAAATAGTACAATCTTATGGAGGGAGTAATAAAAAATGTATAAAATATTTATAAAATAAAAAATTAATTGTTGTTTTACAAAGAAAATTAATTAAAAAATAGTAAAAACCCATAAAAAAGATGGATGCCTTTCCCAACGCCTCTACTGCCTCTCCGCACCACCACCTCCGATCGGTGTAAAAAACTCTTGGTTTTGCAAGAAAAATCCCATTTTTTCTGAAAATGTCATTTAACTGTTTGATAATGCCAAAATTTTCATTGAAACTGCCAATAATATGGCATTATTAGTGCATGTGATATTTTTTCGGTGGCAGAAGGTGGTGGTGTTGGGGGTGGCAGAGGCGGAGGAGATTTTTTTCACGTGTTTTATTTATTTATTATTTAAAAAAAATTATTTTTTAATTTTTTTTTAAATTTTTATTAATTTTTAATATTTTTACGGTTTTTTATTATTTTTTATGATTTTGTTATGAATTAAAACATTTCAAAAGATACAAGGGTATATTTGTCCAAACACACATAATTAGTCTTACTAGTAGAATTAAAGACAATGTAGTCCTATTTGTGACTTTTTTGACTACCTTTTACTCCTATTTAGTTAATTAATCCTTAAAAACACCCAGGTGACTCGTGTATGATCATCTATGATTGTTCTAAATCATCTCTGTTTTTTTAATAGTAGCTACTCTAGATTCACTCCGAATATCACTATGCACAAGAGTAAAAGGACTAGTTGGTTTGTAAGTGTGAGGGATATAAGAATTTCTATGATGTTTTGCAAGTTCACACATATCACAATGAAACAATGAAGGATCTTTATTACTCCCTCCGTCCCGCTAAGATTGTCCCATTTTACCTTTTTCGGAAATCCCACTAAGATTGTCCCATACCAAATTTGGTAAAGTTTGTGTGGCTCTAAAATCATTCTTACTTTATTCTCACTTTATCAATTTAATATCAACCACACAAACCCACTTTTCTTAATAATCGTGCCACCTTCTCTTGTCCCAAACTTAGTGGGACGGAGGTAGTATTAAATAACTGAGGAAACACCTTTTTCAAATAATAAAAACAAGGATGTTCTAGTCTATAGTGAAGCAAATACAACTCTTTATTATTGGAAAAAGTAATAGTTTGCAAACAAGTATTTCTTTATCTCTTTTATTTGGTTGAGTCCCTTCATCAAAGATATAGTCCATCTTCCTCCCCTAGCCCGATGCCAGATCCTGAAAAATGAAATAAGATGGGTAAAAAATAACACAACATTAAAGGTCTTTGGTTACTTAAATGACATAAGCAAGATTGAAAGGTTACAGGGCAGATTTGGGACATGTAGATTGATAGATGAGGAAATTTTGATATTTCCTATCCATGCAATGGGTGATAGAGAGCCATCTGCAACTTTTCCTTTTTTGTCCCCTACACAGGGTTTATATGAAAAGAAAAGATTTGAAACAAAGGTCATGTGCTATGTAGCACCTGAGTCAATGAATCAGGTATTTTTTAATTTTCCAGAACAAAAAATGATGCAGTGGTACTATTTTGGGCATAAGAACAAGAAGTTTTTGGATTGGAAGGAGTTGCTCCATATGTTCCTTTGTGAATGAAGGCTGCTTGAAGTTGACTTGCTGCTTTTGTTGAGAGTCTCCATCACAGTAGTATGAAGAGCTTTCACAAACTTTTTCTTTCTTGCTACTGATGGCTTCACATGAATTTTCCAGCAGGTTTCCCTTGTGTGTCATAGTTTCTTGCAATGATCACATCATGGTTTCTTCTTTTCATCACCTCTAATCTCCATTGCTGAAAGAGTCTCCAGGTTCATCGTTATGTACTGATTTGTTGTACATAATCTTCCTCCTGCTTTCTTCCAGTCTAATTTCAGAGAATACCTCTCTGATTGAGGGTTGAGGCTTCTTTCCCAGAATCCTTCACTTCATCCAGGCCTTGATTAACTCATGCGAGAAATGTTGACTCTGTCATTCTCTTCTCTCTTTTTGTGCTTGACCAGATCCTTTGCACTTTCCCATTCATCATCATAATATTGATCCAATTCTTGCCATAGAGACACCATCTCATTATAATAAGTGGTGACATCTCTATCTCCTTGTTTGGACTGCTAGAGAATGGTTTTCAATTCCAAGATCTGAGAAGAGTTTTTAAGATCTGAATATTTTTCTCCGATGGAGTCCCACACCTCTTTTATTGTCTTCATAAACATGTAGAGTTTGACGATTGATGCCTCTATGGGGCTGAGAAGCCAGGCTGTCACCAGTGAGTTTTCTGACCTCCTCCATGAACTGTAGCCATCCTCACCAGGCAGTTTTTCTTTGATTTCTCCTATTAGATAGCCCAGTTTTCCCCTTCCATCAATGAGCTTGACAGATTGAGACCATTATAAATAATTATGTCCATTCAATCTATGACTAGTGATAAACATAGATGAATGCAGAAAAGACTTGTAATGTGTCATAGGGCTAATTTGAGAGGTAGGGTTACTGGTCCGGTATTGTTCATAATCAAGGTTTTCACCATTGTGATGTTAAATCGAGAGCTCTAATACCATGTAAGTTTTGGGAATAAATTCCTTGATTTCATTGAACCACTCGACCAGAATATAAATACGGAGTAGTATTTACAAGTAACAATTTCCCTATGGAGATCCTATAAAATAGGATCTAGCTAACGGCAAAGCTTATCTAATAATTAATAAAAGCAACAATCTTTAAGACTTATTTACATGAATACATATGTACTAAGTCAAATAATTAATAATTAGTGTAACATTTTCTACAAATCCCAAGATTTATTACCAAAGGATGTTAGGGTCAGCTAACATGAATTGTATTTAACGAGACATGAGTGAAATAATTGTTTGTTTTTCTGGTTCCATTTGTGTGGGGTAGGGTTGGCAGCGGAAGCTTGATCCTGGGTATGATGTAATGCACACATTACAGACGCTGCTGCTCAAGGCAGATTGGGCAGAGTCGCTTTCATATACAATCGAAGGACTCATGGCTCCTTGAAGGCTTCCTGCAGGATCCAACAAACACTTGCACAGTGTACCAACGGAAGTATGTGTTTGCAGGATCCAACAAAAAGTTCTTTAGGTAATAGAGTAATAAAGTCTTTCAGTATTCATTTTTTGTGTAATCAAGTAATAGAAATCCAAAGGCATCAACAGGACAGGAAAGAGAACAGAAGTTAAGAAAACATTTTTCTCAGTTTTGCTTTGTTTGTAATTGTACTTATTTTCATTGGGATAAAAAATAGGGAAAATGGAAACTAATAATCCAACCTTTTAGCGGTCTTCTTTTAATAGTCCGACCTTTTCGTTATTCATGAATAATCCAACCTTTGCACCCCATCTTCATTGATTGGTCCCCGACCGGTTGATGACCTGCTATTCCGAGTTATTTTCTTATCTCTGCAAACTATTATACCATAAATTCCACCTTTCACAAAGATAATATTTTGCAAAGATAAGAAAATAACTTGGAATAATAGGTCATCAACCGGTCAGGGACCAGTGAATGAAGATGAGGTGCAAAAGTTGGATTATTCACGAATAACGAAAAGGTGGGACTATTAAAAGAAGACCGCTAAAAGGTTGGATTATTAGTTTCCATTTTCCCTAAAAAATAAACTTTATAAATCCACAGCCAATGTTTCCTTCCTGAACAAGTTGGCAAGGCGTTTTTTCCTCCACAACCAATTCCCAACAATATATAGGTTTCAGGTTAAGATTTTATTTGCATTTTACTTCGTATTTTGATAGGGATCCAACCTGTAACAGAGTTATCCGAGCAACACAAAGGAGAAAACAATGGCGCAAAGGAAAAATGAATAGTAATGGGAGTTCGTATAACAGACAAGAGAGAGAAACAATGTCTGGCAGTTTTAAGAGATGCCCCTCTCCAAGTCCCAGCCCAACAAAAACCAGCCTACTTCTTATTACAATCGTTACCTATTTATAGTAATACCCCAAACCCCTTATACAAAAGGTTATTTAATACTCTTCTTACTCCTTCTCGAGTACACCTGGTCATAATAGTCAACGCTATTATTAATAATGGGCTGACTGCCCTTATCCCTATCATCACTCCCCCATGAAACTACCACCTTGCCCTCAAGGTGGAGACCAGGGAATTGTTGCTGCAACTGCTGCGCGTCTTCCCATGAATCCTCAAAGTCTGGCAAGTTCTCCCAATGCACCAACACTTCAGTCTGCCCTGAAGAGTTTATTCTGCTCTCCTTGATAAGTTCTGGCTTGACTTGTAACTCCCATTCTTCTGTTAGGCACTTGGGTAGAGGTTGGGTTGGAGTGGAAGTGGGTACAGCTTTCTTCAGTAATGACAAATGAAAAACCGGATGCACCCTACAGTCTTCTGGTAGCTTCAGTCTGTAGGCCACAAGATTAATTTGCTCTATGACTTCAAAAGGCCCATAGAATCTGGGGCTCAGCTTTTGATTCATCCTCTTAGCCAAGGTTTTGAGTTTATAAGGTTGAATTTTCAGATACACCCAGTCACCTACCAACAGCTTGACATCCCTCCTCTTCCTATCAGCCAGTTGCTTCATCTGGTTCTGTGCAGTTGCCAAATTATTCTTCAATTCATCTATCATTTCATTCCTGGCAGCTGTCAGTCTGCTTACCTCCTCCACAGCTGTTAAGGTCACATCTCCTCTAATCAACACCGGTGGATCCTGCCCATATAGCGCCTTGTAAGGGCTATTCTTGGTTGACACATGATAATTTGTGTTATACCAGAATTCTGCCCATGGTAGCCATTGAGGCCAATGCCTTGGTTTCTTCCCCGTCATGCACCTGAGGTAGGTTTCCACACATCTATTGACTACCTCTGTCTGCCCATCCGTTTGGGGATGGTACGCAGTGCTGTACTTTAACTTGGTACCCGCTAATTTAAACAGTTCAGTGACTTCAGTCCAAAACACACTTAGAAAGACACTGTCCCGATCTGAAACAATGGTCTTAGGAAACCCATGCAATCTGACCACCTCCTGAATGAACACTTCTGCCACACCTTTAGCATTGTAGGGGCGAGTTAATGCTATAAAGTGCGCAAACTTTGTTAATCTGTCCACCACAACCATAATAGTATCCATCCCTTGAGCCTTAGGCAGTCCTCCAATAAAATCCATGCTGAGATCTGTCCAAATTTGATTAGGAATGGGGAGAGGATGAAATAGTCCTGCTGGACTTAGAGTCTGGTATTTATTTCGTTGACACACATCACATTGCTGCACATACTGCTTAATATCAGTTCTCATTCCTTCCCAATAAAACAATGATGATATCCTTTTTATTGTTTTAAAGTTTCCAGCATGCCCCCCTATAGCAGACTCATGGAACTCCTTAAGAATGCTATCAATTCTCACAGATTTCTTAGGAATCACCAGTCTACTCTTATAATATAAAATCCCTTGACTAACCTTGAAATGAGGAATGGAGTCTAGTTCAGTCAATAACTTCTGCAGCATAGCTTTATATTTCTCATCCTCCCTCAACTCATCCTCCAGCCCTTCCCACTCCTGGCCATAGTCACATGGTTCGCGGTACGATTCGATACGGGAACGAGGAACGGGAACGCGGTACGCTAGATCTAGCGTATCCGATACGAAGGGGGGTAGGTTCATTTCGGTACGCGTTCGGTACGATGTGCCATATGTTCGGTACGTTGTACCTTATATTTTGGTACTATAATAAAACTATAAAACTGAATTATAGAATACAGATTTCAACATTGAACAAAAACAAATTTCATAACATGATTTCATAACATTAAGCAAAAGCAAAAACATTAATATTCAGAAACATTTCAAGCAAAACAGAAAAATAGTACTACAATCATTGATTTAAAGTTCAAATTCAAATAAAAAAGTACATGTCTAATCAACTCGAGGTCTCTTTCCTCTCCCCTTGTCCTCGTCTTCATCTTCAAGATTCTCCCAAGCCATGTCTTCGAGTCTTGAACTTGAGCCTTCTATGTATGTGCTCTCGGGATTGATGTCCCAATATTTGTGTGGACCGGCTTTATATGACTCTGAAAAGCGTGACTGGAGTCGAATGTTGGAGTGAATGAAGACCAATTTGTCGGCTCTTTTGCAATTCAACCGGTTTCTCTTCACACTGTGAATGTAAGAATATGTACTCCAATTTCTTTCGGCCGAAGAGCTGCTAATCGGTTGTGAAAGCACCTTCTTTGCTACTTCGGCTAATTCCGGTGTTTCGGCTCCATAGGTTGACCACCAATCAATTGCATCCATTGTCACAGAATCCGCTTGTGTTGCCACCATTGAATAGATCCCCTTCTTCATATGGAATGTAGCAAATTGCTCTCGTAATAGCCTTTCCTCTTCGGGACTTTCTGCAATTCTTTTGAAAGCTTCCATAACACCAACCACGACCTCTTTATCTTGATTCGGTGCTTTTCTTGCAATACCACCCGGAGCCAATTTTTCAAGATAGAATTTATCATAAAACCTTGGGTTTAATGCAAACCCCAAACAGTGAAGTGGGATTGTCATCTTCTCCCATCTAGCTACAATTATTTTCTTAATATCCGGGTAATAGCAAGAATATACATTATCCACCATAATGTCCTTTATCTCCCCCAACATATTATCCATTCTTTCATATATTTCACCCATTTTTGGACCATCACCATCACAAAACTTGATAACTAGAAAAATAGGCTTAGTAATTTTCAAAACATTCCTCACATCATCCCAAAACTCATCACTCTTAATGGTTTCAGCAACATTAGCACCATTAATTCTTGCATTTTCATCTCCAGTTCTCACCCATTCCCTCCAAGAATTGCAAAAAATAGTTGAGGCAAGAGCCTCTCTACAATCCATCACCCTTTTTAGCAAAATGTAATGCGATGCAAACCGGGTTTTTGCAACCTTTAGCAACTCTAACTTTGAGTTTTCACGAAAGATAGCTAAAGCATGGGTATGGTTAATAAAATACTTAACTATATCCTTGCCTTTTCTATACGTATTCCGTAACCATTGGAGTTCTTTTGCCATGTCTTTGAAAATTAAATTCAAAGTGTGTACGCAACATGGAGACCAAAAGATATGCTTGTGTACCTTCTCAATCTCTCGCCCGGCTGCCTTACAATTAGCTGCATTATCGGTGACAACTTGCAGCACATTACTTGGTCCAACCGTGTCAATACCTCCAAGAAGAAATTTAGAAATTTCTAGTCCAGATTTCTCAACCCCAGAAAAATCTTCCGCGTACATGAAAATCGCACCACGGGAATTCACCGCTAAAACATTGATAAGTGGCCTATGCTTCACGTTAGACCACCCATCCGAGACAATTGACACCCCTTGAGTGTACCACGTGTCTTTCACCACCGTTAGATCCTTCTCAACGTCCCTAACGCATTCGTCGAGCAACACCGTTCTCGCCTTTTCACTAGAAGGAGGTTTGTATCCTTCCGGTGCCTTTTTGATAGCATTCACCATTTCAATAAATTGCGGGTTGCGTAAGACGTTGAATGGAATCCCATTTGCACACAAGCCCCTAATGATCTTTAAGTCAACTGCGTTTCTCTCCAATAGCCCAAAAGACTCTTCCAAACGTTTCTTTGATGACACATTTCTGGACAGCAGTGAATTCTTCAACGATTTTGCAACGTCACCAGCCTCAGCTTCTTTTACTTTGTTCCAAAGACTTTCATGCTTCTGCCTATCTTTGAGGAGTGCAGGACACCTTTTGATTTCTGCCTTTTTCCCTGCTGCAGGCCCAAAAAAATGAACATGAATTCTTGTATAAGAACTGGTGTACTTCCCCTTGCAGTGTTTGCAAACCCACTGCTTTGCACCTCCTGCGTTTTTACTTTCACCCGTGCCAAGGAAAGTAACTTCATCGAGCAGTGGTTTGGCTTTGGCATTTGCATCCTTAGTTTGCGTAGCAGGTACAACAGCAGCTTGTTCACTTTCTTGAGTTTCTGGAAGAACATACTCTTCTGTGTCACTGTCCACTAAATTATAAGTGGCTGGAGACTCTGCTCTAGAAGATGAACCAGACCCAAAAACCATTTTAAGAATTTAGAGTATAAGTGAGAAGAGAATGGAGAGTAGAAAGCCAAGTGAGGAGTGCTGGACGATGAGAGTTGGAACAATTTCCACCCCATTATATAGGCTGGAGTGCTGGACGTAGAACAAAGTGAAGAGTAGAAGAGGAAGACTGAAGCGTGAATTCGTTCTGCAGAAATCGAAGAGAACGCGTCTGAAGTCTGAACGACGATTCAGAAACGGCGATTCAATTTTCGAAGCACAGTAAACGACGAGCCTGAACGACGCTCTGGTACAGAGTTCGCGATTTAGGGCGATCCCTTTTGGTGTTGCGATCGACATCAGGTACGTTTGCGCACGTCTTGTTTAGCGATGCGGAACGATCCGACCGGCGATTAGGATCGTTTGGCCAAGCGATCCGACCTGCGATCCAACCTGCGTCTGGTACGCGTTCGTACCGCGTTTGGGTACGGGACGTTCAGATCGTAGATCGCGGTTATCCCAGCGATTTATGTTTCTATGCTCCTGGCAAGTGACCACAGACAAGGAGTAACAAAAACCCTTCCTAGACAAGGCATCTGCAGCTTTGTTTTCCACACCCGGCTTGTATTTGATGACAAAATTGTACCCCAGCAACTTAGTCACCCATTTCTGTTGGTCTTCTCCCA